CCCCCCCCCCCCTAAAAAGGATGGAACAAAAAAGAATTTTTAATTATCTGTCATTTACACAAGGAATAATTGTAGCTAATGTCTTTCAGGGTGTTCCCTTTAGCTGTAAAAAAAATTAATATAAATTTAAACTGTTTGATCAAATGCAATAAACTTCTTTAGTTTGTCATTTCAAAAATTTCTGTTTCACTTTACTTCTTGTTCCAGCAAATTATTTGATATTAAGCCATTGGACTGGTCATGATTACAAAGGATTCAAATGAATTTTTGTCTGTTATATCTCGTAGATGAGCCTTATGACTCATTTCTTGTAATTTTATATACATTTCAAATCACTATGGAGTGAAAGCAACAAACAATTATTTTTCCTCAGGTATCCTATGGTAGCTATTTGTATTGGTCTGGCAATTAATAAACAGGTAAATTTCGTATAACATTTAGTAAGCCCTCAGTACAAACCTGTTGGTCTTGTTTTGATTAAGTATTTAACTACAGGGGCCCAGTTTTTCATAGGGCAGATAAAGCTATCTAACAGAGAAATTTCTATACAAGGATTCATGTAAGTGTTTACAAACCATACATAACTATGCTATCCACCAGACAGAGATATAGCATTGTCCAACCTTCAAACAGCCAGGGCTCAGTGATTTACGTGAATATAAAAACATGGTACCTTGAGAACATAATATATCTCACCAGTGGAACCCTTAACTTGTTCTTAGAGTGCTGTTAACTCAAAAATGATGACAGTGAAACTTTTTTGAAATGTAAAAAATAGCAATAGGTGTATTCAAGCACAACTTTCGGACAATTAGTACTAGTTTCAAATCATTTAGTGGACAGTTGAACCTGTGGCACAGTATTAAGCAGTCAGTTGTTAAAGTCCTGTTTGCTACAGGGTCTCTGTTTAGGGGTTACCTTCATTAAGCAGTCACAGTCACCCTTTACTAAGTCCCAAAGGCCTGTTTGTATTGTCTTCCACCTGTACTGAATGGTAACTAGAAGCTGAACCACTCATAAAACTAAGAATAACTTTCAAGCAATTGTTAATCCATGTTTCTCTCTCAAAATCAAGGAAAGTAAATAGTGATTTTGAGCAAGATTCTATACATTAATTGGTTTATTTTGGCATAACATGGCATTGTGTATCATTGTTCATAATGGGGAGTTTTAGATCCATGTTTGTTTCTGAATATGTATGACTGCAAAAGTCTAGGAGTCATGTGATCAGACTCTAGTGGTTGCATTTGCTGTTACCCATCCATGTTTGAACTTCAGGCAAGGCACTTTCAGATAGTTGAACTCCCTTAATGCTTTTTGCCTTCCTGTTTGAAAGTTCTCACGTATTTTCTATAAATATATGTGAAGTGAAGTCTTTTCTTAATAACTAATCTTTTAGCTACATCTTGTGTGTGAAATGAAGGACCTCCATCCTTTGTGTAATTCAAGATGGTGGCATGTATGTTGATTTTTTCAGGTGAAATCTGATGTCGATCTAAAAAGCTGAAAGTCTTTAGACTTCTAACTTCTAACCAAAAACTGCTGGCTGCAGTTTGATGTTTGCAGTTAACACTCCAAATGTGCATCTAAAACTCTCCAATACCCCAAATCTATGTGGAACCTGTATTAAGTGGTCAACATTTATAAGTACTCACCCTTTGGGTGACCACCTAATACAGGTTCCACTGTTTGTTTGTTTCTGTTTACAATAGACATATTGATGTTGATTACAGCGAGCACAGATTGCAGCAAACAACATGAATATAAGTTAGGCTTTAAGTTTAGAATTTTTGTGCTATCGATAGGTGCATATTGTTCAGTGATAGACTTAAAATGAATGTTCTCCATTAGATGGAGGTTGGGGTAGTATTCAATCCAATTAAAGATCAGATGTTTACTGCAAGAAGAGGCACTGGGGCATTTTGTAATGGAAAGAAAATTCACTGCTCAAGTGTAACAGGTAAACTTAATTGTTAAATATAGTAAGGAGATAATGATGAAGAAGAAGGTTTTGTTATTTATTCTAATCAATCTGTAGGAGACACTGTGGCATAATTTGTATTACCCTGGACTCTGGATCAAAAGTGCAGGAGACACAGTGGCCTTATTCAGTCAGTGCACAGGACTCCAGGTCAAGCGGTCTCAGTTTGAGACTTGGCCAGTCATTGTATTGTGTTCTTGGACAAAACACTTTATTCTCACAGTGCCCCTCTCCACCCAGGAGTGGAA